TGATTTTTAATACATTAATTTATTATACTAATCATTTTTTTAAACTATACAAGGCTCATAAAAGTCAATTTAAAACCCATTTTCTCTACCTGGTCTTAACTGCCTCGTCTTTCTCAATCACCCTGCTAGGTCTAGTTACCCTGCTTGACGGTACCTTCAATTTTCAGAGTAATGATTAACAAACGAGGGATCGACGCTGCCATCTCACCCTAAATGCAAATTAACTGATTATCTTCACGTTGAAGCTCTAGACCCGTTAGGTCATACAGTCCTTGAGGAGGAGCAATCATATCTGATCCGAGTAAGAAAATAACTTCGGTTTAAACGCGAGGATAATGTACAAAGAAGCGTGTTTATCTTTGTAAGCTGAAAACTTACTCTAATTGCTGTCTTAAAAATCACTGATATGTATGTGTGTTGTGTGTGCGTGTACTCACCGAGTGTGTACGTGATTTTTATATGTATTTAGTGTACCCACGTACATATGTATTCAGTGTGTGCGTGTGTAATTACCTATTTGTCAGCTATATATAGTAGCAGAAGTTCGTCGTGTCCCGGCCCAAGTGTTTGGCTTGTTATACACTATTTTAGAGTGTCCGCTGGTTCTGCAGGCGCTGTTCGATTCCTACAGGTTTTGCGTTTCCCCCATGATAATAATAATTCAGTGGTTATAGCAGATGCCATCTCCTCTTGGATCCTATTCCAGAAGTAAGCTATATTATTGGCAATACCCTGCACGAGGGTATTCATTAAAGATGCATACACCAGTCAAGAATACTTTAACTCATGGGGATCAAAGTAAACTCAGTATATACAGAATGTCATAGCACTTTAACAGAGTATACTTTGCTTAGCTGAATATAAACTGTTTCATAACAGTTGCTATCATGGTGATTTTTTCCCCCACTTCTCTCATTTTTTAAGAATTTTAGTACGAGTATTTATCAATGTGACAGGTTATTCATGTTTTTATCTGAAACTCGAAGGAACATCTCGATCCTCCGCCCCCCGAACAAGTCATGCATGTCACTCTCTTAGACAGGCTTTCTCCCTTTTTTTTTTATTTTTGATAGGCTTTCTCCCTTTTTTTTATTTTTTTAAGATTTTACCTATCTTTTTTTTTAATATCAAGTAAATGATCGTCATTTTCCATCTGTAGTGTATATTTATTGTAATTGTAATAAAAGCGCTTTAGTAACACGTGGAGAAGATGAGGCAAGAGTCACTTACCTTATCAGATGATAGTTGTACACAACCCTCGTACTGTAACACGCGAGGCTCCTTGCATGTTATACATTGGCTAAAATCATACCTCTTACTCTATTAAATCACGCTAGACTGGCATATTTCATACACACCATTTTTCAACAGAGGTTCACAGTTTTGAGCTAAACGAATGAACACCAAAAATAAGAGAACCTCGGAAAATATAACTGCGATGCTTGAGTAAATGTAACCAACCCCTTTTGTGATAGTCTGCTCTCAAGATTATTTAACGAAACTATTGTCAGAGACATAAATAGCAAGATAGTAAGTCCAATAAACGGTGTACCAGACGAAAAGTGGTATCCATCTCATTGCTATAAACACTAAGTGACTGGAGTTTTGCTGTTTCAGTGACACGACTTTGTCCAGGAAATTCTGGCTTGAAAGTCTAACCTCGGTGATATTACATAAATTTAGCTCTGATTTCGTGGTTGATGGCGGTAGCCTTAGAATGTTCTTTACATCAACTTATCCAGACAAACCATACTATGCAAGTCCTACCATTGAGAATTATGGGTAATTTGTTTTAAGTACTTTCACTGTCAAAGAACATTAGTTTATATCTTAGGGATGTGCCAAAGTATCGGTATCAGTAAGTATCGGCCATTTTTATGGAATCGGTGAAAAAACGGCCGATACTTTTAAAATACTAATGTTGCGTTATGCTTAAAAATATCTAAATTAACACTCACTCGAACGATTGTGAGGCTACACACACACACACACTATCGTCAAGAGCCTTTGACAACCAGTAACTAACACAACAGACCAAGTGTCTTTTGACAAGTGCCTCTGACAACTAGTAACTAACATGCTGTAACTAGGACATTTTATTAATACAATGTCCTAGTTATTGCATGTGTCTATTTTACATATTTGTCAGTATTAATCGCCATTTGTATCCTCAGTCGACACTTTTTTTTTTTATATTTTATTTAAAATACAGTATACATTATACGTGTAAGCAAACATGTCACTAAACCAATCAACATGTAACAACAAAATTAAAGTACAACATACGTATACACAATCAAAAAAGAAAAAGAAACTTCACACAGGTGTACCAACAACATATCCAGAGAATCTACTTCAGCACACTTAAACATCTTATGCCAAGTTTTATATACAAAACAATTCTTAAAGGTAAAAACCTCACCACATACCATTAAAACCTATACATCCCCTCCCCCACCAAAGGTACATTTATAAAGTCGTACATATGTGCTCTGGAAGTAAAAAGGTACCCCCCCCCTCATCAAATACCAACAAAACAATGACATACTATAAGAGCGCAGGATACTACTATCACGTCCCGAGTCGTAGCATTTGGTCAACTCCTGTTGAATACACACTGAAACTGTTCGTAGAATTATAATGTAAGGATTATATAGAGCGGAATCAGAGAGACTGATATCAGGGTAGACTGCGCGTACAAACAGAACCAAAGTTCACACACTGCTGCTGGTCCCTCACAGCTCAGCTGATCTATAAAAGCTAAATATTTCATGCCTGGGAATGCATTAAAAATTGAAGATCACTGCGCTTGCTTGCCCTCCACCTTCCTTTTACCCTTCCCCACTCTTCAAGGGAAGGGATACCTTGGTGCTGGGGAAGGACTCTTGATTCGAGGAATTGGAGTTACCCTGCTCGGATGAAGCTTCCCTTATCACAGGTGGAAGTTCAGAGATTCCCAATTAATATAATTTAACTTTCCTTTATTCGAGACTTATTTGCTAGGTTGGTTATTTAAAAGTGTACCTAAGCCTTTCCTAACAGTTGAAACAAATTTACCCGACACGACTTGATTGCTGATGTACTGGCGGTTGGTACTACAAGTTTATTGTGAAGTGTATGTATATGTGGTCTCCCATCACCGCTTATGCTATCGGCAATAAAATTAACCCTAACACCCTTTGCATCATAAAAAAAATGACTAAGCTCATCAATCTGTGTCATCATTAAACGGAGCCATTTTTCGTAATGTCCATCCCAACAGGTGTAAGTGAGGTGGAAAGAGACCGTATCCTTGAGACACAACAATTCGTTGTCAAGGTCACACCTTACCCAGTCAAAACTACACCTCACATGGTTGTCAAGACCACAGTCGACCTGGCCGTAAAGGCCCTCAGTGATTTGGTCCAAGGCCCCACGATATCTGGTCAAAGGCCCCGAGATCTGGTCAAAGGCCCCACGAGATTTGGTCAAAAGGCCTCACGAGATCTGGTCAAAGGCTCCACGAGATTTGGTCAAAAGGCCCCACGAGATCTGGTCAAAAGCCCCACGAGATCTGGTCAAAGGCTCCACGAGATTTGGCCAAAAGACCCCACGAGATCTGGTCCAAGGCCCCACGAAATCTAGTCAAGACACGAGCTTATACACACAATCAACCTGGTCGTCAAGACCCAATCCCATCTGATCATGATAACACTGGAGGGCCAACTACGCTAAACGCGCGGGCAGGATACCCTACCTTTAAGTGATATACTACTACTACTACTACTACTACTATTACTAATAATAATAATAATAATAATAATAATAATAATAATAATAATAGTAATAATAAACTGAAACCGTTGGCTTGTCAGCAATCGCAACAGAGCTCTTATTCAGGAAATTTTCGTCACACACAAAACCGCGTAGAAATGAAATTCTTTCCAGACATTCAAATATTTTCATCTGAAACTGCTTTGACTCCATAATTTGTGGAGGGTAAGTACATGCTTTGCACACTACCCATTTAGATGCTAGAGACACGTATTGTTACGCTAGGTGTGCAATTTTGGTAATAGCATGATGTTTGACATGGCATTAGGCTACCTTTATGTTAGTGCCCAGCCTACATACGTTGCTGCTACAGAGTCGGATGAAGAATTGGGTTGGACTGTGGGGTTGGTGAATGTTAAGTCATAAGTAGAGGTTTTGACGAATAGTGCAGCCATAAGTTGAAGTTTTGATGAATGTTGCAGTTTTAGGTCGATGGGTTGGCAAGTTCTGCAGTGTTAGGTCGATGGAAGAATGTTTTTTGCGAGTGTATAGTTAGATGTAAGTATGGGCTGGCGGAAAGAATTGTCAGCCGTGGCTGATGCATGCACGCACAGCCAGGCGTTTGCCAAAAATTTTGGTCAAAGGTACTAGATGTGTGTTCACCTTTTTTTTTTAGTGGCAGTCTTTTTCAGACAACATTAGAAACCTGTTATAATACTACTACTAATTATTATTAGTACTTTATCAAAAGAGGAAACTAGTAAGATTCTTCACTGATTCCCCATAATAAGCGAGTCTCAGATACCTACATTCAAATTTGTTGGAGGGAATATGCGAGATGAGTTCACCACTTAACTTGGATGCTGCAGGTGATCTTAAACTGCAGCTTTGATGAAGTTTATGTGAAACAATTGAAGTTTTTTCTTTCGGTTCCTAAACTGGTGGTGGACATTTCTTTTACATTGCTATGGGGACTATAACGTTGATTTTTTTATGTTTCTGAATGTGCTAAAATACGTAAAAAAATCACGCTTTTAATCGAAACTGCTGCTACAATTGCTTTTTATTGAAAAAATAAGCCATATTGTATTATTTTTTCAAGTAGTATACGTGCATATTTTAGCGAAAAATTGATGTTATTACTGCTGTTATTTACAAATTTTACAAACACAATTATTACTGTCATTAATGCTTATGATATTGCTAATATGACTATTAATGTGGTTGTTTTTTCCTTACATTTCTAGATCCATTGCCGATGAAGATGAGAGCGCTGCCGCAGAGCTTCTGGTTACAACCCAACAAGAATAACAACTTACCACCCTCTTGTTCCACACTTCCTCCACTCATCCTCGGCAAGGACTCCAGCGACGTAATTGGTCAGTTGAGTTTTAATATTTCTTTCACTGACAGGCGAAGTAGTGCATTATTAATTAAGAAAGATTGTAATATTGAGGGAGTTAGTGACTGTAATGAGGGGTAAGCTCCTGCCCAAACCTTCCAACGCATCGACTCATTAGTGGCTTCGTAAAATTTCAGACTTGGCCAGAAACCTGGACTTTATAATGGTTAGCAAGGGTTACCAGCTGCCACCCTAAGTTGCTGCAAGTCTTTACAGAACTCGACCCGGGTAAAGCACTTTTCCACATCGCTTTTTAAGGTCATAAATGTATATGAAACAGTAATAACTTCTTTTTTATCATGAAGGCATGCAGCTGCAATTTCTTCCATGGCTAACTGACTGCTGTGGGTGCTAACACCACAACAGCAGTCTATGGGTAACCGTGGCCAGTGACTCCTACGTTACTCTGAAACCTCCTCTCTCCTGCGTTGCTTGCTCCCTTGCAACATTGCACAGGTCCCTGATGACCACTGAGAAAGTGTGAAAGCACTTGAGCAAAAGATTTCCACCCCCCGTGGGCTTGTCCGCATAGTTAAGATCCCCGTATGCGATTGTTTTGCATATATATATATATATATATATATATATAAATATATATATATATATAATAAATTAATTTTTTTTTTATTATTCACACTGGCCGATTCCCACCAAGCCGGGTGGCCTGAAAAAGAAAAACTTTCACCATCATTCACTCCATCACTGTCCCTTGCCAGAAGGGTGCTTTAACACTACAGTTTTTAAACTGCAAACATTATCACCCCTCCTTCAGAGTGCAGGCAACTGTACTTCCCATCTCCAGGACTCAAGTCCGGCCTGCCGGTTTTCACCTGAACCCCTCTTTCATAAATTTTACTTTGCTCACACTCCAACAGCACGTCCAGTATTAAAAACCATTTGTCTCCTCATTCACTCGCTATCAACACCTCACGCATAGCCTGCTGGAAGTCCAAGCCCCCTCGCACACAAACCTCCTTTACCCCCCCCTCCAACCTTTCTAGTGCCTACCCCTACCCCCCGCCTTCCTTGCACTACAGACTGATACACTCTTGAAGTCATTCCTGTTTCGCTCCATTCTCTCTACATGTCCGAACCACCTCAACAACCCTTCCTCAGCCCCTGGACAACAGCTTTGGTAATCCCGCACCTCCTCCTAACTTCCAAACTACGAATTCCTCTATGCATATATTCACACCACACATTGACCTCAGACATGAAAATCTCCACGCTCCCAACCTTCCTCCTCGCTGCAACATTCATCACCCTTGCTTTCACACCCATATAAGAGCGTTGTAAAACTATACTCTCATACATCCCCTCTTTGCCTCCCAAGAGACAAAGTTCTTTGTCTCCACAGACTCCTAAGTGCAACCACTCACGCTTTTTCCCTCATCATTCTATATTTCACCTCATCTTTCATAGACCGCATCCGCAGAACAACTCCACTCCCAAATATCTGAAATACGTTCCCTCCTCCATACACCTCTCCCGTTCCAATCTGATATTCAATCTTTCATCACCTAATCTTTTTGTTATCCACATAACCTTACTCTTCCTGTAGTCACCTTTATTTTTCTTCTTTGCACACCCTAACCCTTTGTGTGTGATTCGTTAACGTCTTAACCCTCCAGCGCCTCTATGCCAAGACCCCCTCGCAACTTACTTCTCTAAACCCCAATCTATAAATATATTAAACAACCACGGTGACATCACACATCCTGTCTAAGGCCTACTTTTACTGGGAAATAAGTTCCCCTCTTCCTACATACTCTAACTGAGCCCTCCTATCCCTCGTAAAAAACTCTTCACTGCTTTCAGTAAACCTACCTCCCTCCTACACCATACACTTGCAACATCTGCCACATTGCCCCCTATCCACCTGTCATACGCCTTTTCCTAATACTTAAAAGCCACAAAGACCTCTTTATTAGCCTTATCTAAATACTGTTCACTTATGATGTTCACTGTAAACAACTGTTCCACAACACCCCCTACCTTTCCTAAAGCACCTTGGTCCATCGCTAATCCTAATCTCCGTCCTTACTCTTAATTCTTTCAATTAATAACTCTACCATACACCTTTACCAGGTAATACTCAACAGACTTATCCCCCTATATATTTGTGCACTCTCTTTTATCCCTTTTGCCTTTATATCAAAGGAACTATGCAGCACTCTGCCAATCCATAGGTACCTTTCCCTCTTCCATACATTATTATTAAAAATAATTGCAACCAACCACTCCAAAACAATATCCCCACCTTCCTTTATAACATTTCTAATCTTTATCCCATCAATCCCCGGCTGCCTTACCCCCTTTCATTTACCAACTGCCTCACGAACTTACCCCACACCAACAACTGCTCTTCTCACAATCCTACAAGATGTTATTCCTCCTTGTCCTATACACGAAATCACAAGCTTCCCTATCTTCCATCAACATTTAACAATTCCTCAAAATATTCCCTCCATCTTCCAATACCTCTAACTCTCCATTAATAACTCTCCTCTCCTATTTTTAACTGACAAATCCATTTGTTCTCTAGCTACTTAACTTGGTTAATCTCACTCCAACACTTTTTCTTATTTTCAACAAATTTGTTGATAACATCTCACCCACTCTCTTCATTGCTCTCTTTTTACATTGCATCACCACTCTCTTCAACCTCTCACTTTTCTTCCATATACCTTCCTCCTTGCAATCACTTCTACTTTGTAAAAACTTCTCAATCTAACTTTTTTCTCCCTTACACTACAACTCTTTACATCATCGTTCCACCAATCGCTCCTCTTCCTCCCGCACCCACCTTCCTGTAACCCACAAATCTTCTGCTGAACACACTAACACTACAATTTAAACCACCCCATACTCTTCGAACCCCATTGCCTATGCTCTCATTAGCCCATCTATCCTCCAATAGCTGTTTATATCTTACCCTAACTGCCCTCCCCTTTTTATTTTTTTATGTTTATAAACCTCACACTCTCTCTTCCCTGAATGCTTTCTATTCAACCTTGTATCCCATCTAACTTTTACTCTCAGTGTATCTACAACTAGAAAGTGATCTGTATATCTGTGGCCCCTCTATAAAACATGTACACATCCTGAAGTCTACTTCAACAGTCTTTTATCAACCAATACATAATCCAACAAACTTACTGTCATTCGCCCTACATCATATCTTGTATACTTATTTATCCTCTTTTTTCTTATAAATATGTATTAACCTATAACTAAACCCCTTTCTAATCAAAGTTCAATCAAAGGGCTCCCATTATCATTTACCTCCTGCACCCCAAACTTACTTCTACCACACCCTCTCTAAAAGTTTCTCCTACTTCAGCATTCCTGTCCCCTACCACAATTTACTCTCTCACTGTTCAAAGGGCTCCTATACTTTCACTTAACATCTACCAAAGTCTCTCTCTCTCCTCTGCATTCCCTTCTTCTCCAGGTGCATACAACGCGTATTATGACCCACTGTCTCGCAACCAACCCTTTACTTTAATCCACTATATTCTTGAATTTTACACATTCAGATTCTCTTTTCCCCTCCTTCATAACTGATCATTCAACATTACTGCTACCCCCTTCCTCTGCTCTAACTCTCTCCAGATACTCCAGTTTAATCCATGTATTTTCCCCCCACTGAAACTTCCCCTACGCCCCCCTTCATCTTTTGTTTCGCTTAGGGGGCCAGACATCCACTTCCTTTCATTCATAACATCAGCAATCATCTTTTCTTGTCATCCCACTACATCCAACGCCCACTAAATATTTAAGCATCCATTTTATAAAGTTTTCTTCTTCTCTTTTTTAGTAAAATGTCTACAGGAGAAGGGGTTACTAGCCCATTGGCTCCATCCGCATTTTAGTCGCCTCATACGACAACGCAGGCTTAAACGGAGGAAAGATTCTTTTCCCCTTTTTCCCCATGACAATAAAGAAATAAAGAAGAAACAAGAGCTATTTAAAAAAGGGCGAAACCTAGATGTATGTATATATTATATATGCATGTGTGTGTCTGTGAAGTGGTGAACCAAAGTGTAAGTAGGATAGTAAGATAACCCTGATATCTAGCGTGTTTTATGAGATAGAAAAAATAAACCAGGCAAACCTACCATCAGCAAAAAAGGTACAGTTTGTTTTCACAGCCCTCCTGCAGGGAACGGTAGTACTTATCCCTGGGTGGTTGCCTGTTCCTACCACCTACTACCTATATATAATATATATATATATAATATATATAATTATATTATTTTTTTTTTTTTTTTTTTTTTTTTTTTTTTTTTTTTTTTTTTTAGTATCACAACACCGGCCGATTCCACCAAGGCAGGGTGGCCCGAAAAAAAAAAAACTTTCACCATCATTCACTCCATCACCTGTCTTTGCCAGAAGGGTGCGTTTCACTACAGTTTTTAAACTGCAACATTAACACCCCTCCTTCAGAGTCTGGCACTTGTACTTCCATCATCCCAGGACTCAAGTCCGGCCTGCCGGTTTCCCTGAATCCCTTCATAAATGTTTACTTTGCTCACACTCTCCAACCAGCACGTCATGTATTAAAAACCAGTTGTCTCCAATCACACCTATCAAACACGCTCACGCATGCCTGCTGAAGTCCAACCCCCGCACCACAAAACCTCCTTTAATAAATAACCCCCTCCCTCCAACCCTTCCGCTAGGCCGACCCCTACCCCGCCTTCCTTCCACTTACAGACTGATACACTCATGAAGTCATTCTTTTCGCTCCATTTCTCTCCTACATGTCCGAACCACCTCAACAACCCTTTCCACAGCCCTCTGGACAACAGTTTTGTAATCCCGCACTCCTCCTAATAACTTCCAAACTACGAACTCTGCATTATATTCACACCACACATTTTGCCCTCGAGACATGAATCTCCACTGCCTCCAGCCTTCTCCTCGCTGCAACAATCATCACCCACGCTTCATCACACCCATATAAGAAGCGTT